GAAGAGGGGGGGGGGGGGTTCTGTTAAAAGTTTCAGATATTAGTTTTGAAATTCAGACCCTAAACTGAGAATTACATGCTTTTGCTGACATCAACTTATGCAGACAATTTTTTTCTACCACCAGAATAGAAAGAACACAATTTAATATAGTTTGATTTGTTAACAATAACTGTGTGTGTATATTTGTTATTGACACGTGATCACTAATTAGTCTCTATAAAATCTGTTAAATATATTCTGCATTTTAACCTTCAGATTTAAACCAAGTTATTCGGTAGTTTGCTTTCTGGTCATTTGGCCTTTTTGACCAAACCAGTTCAATCCAGCACCAGAATTCAAACAACTCGCCCTCCCCTCAGAAACCTCACAATCTCACACACACACCCTCCTTGTTTTTATGAGCACAGCGTCTCTCCACCGCCTGTGATGCATTTCTCTTGTGAATTGTTATATCTTTCACTCTAGTTTGAGTTGTCATCTTTCACTGTCAGTTCTTAATTAAATCACCCAACAAGTTGGAATGTTGCATTTAGGAACTTGTAAGACATGTTTTGCATTGTCTTGATAGCCTTCCACCTTAATTGTGCTGAGTCAAAATTAGTGTTGATTTTCTCATAGTTAGAGGCATTGCCTCCAGAATTTTCTTTTTGTGCTTGACTGCTAATTCTATCTGACAGTGTGTGAATATGAAAGAATGAGGGAACTGGCTCATTTGTTGTGTAATGATAGCTGTGGTGAACACACGTTCACACAGGCGTACTGTCCGCTTGTGAGTGTTATGGCCAGCCGTTCCCTGTTCAGGCCAGATGTCTAGGTCTCTGTACTGTCATAGCTGCTTGTTTTTATATAAAAGAGACTGGGGCTAGTTGTCACAAAGGCTATGCATCAGTAACTGTAAGGTTTTTATCTGAGCCTAAGAAGACCAACCTATCTTCACTTCCACGTGCAGTGGCTGTAATGCACTAATAACACCCCTTGCTGATTTTGGCCTTGGATTTATTAAGTTAACTGGCTTTATCTGCTCTGCTTGCGTGATACTACAACAGAGACAAGAATAGATTCAAAAACCCTCAGTGAACCATGGCTGTGGACCCAGAATAGGGGGTTTCAGTCTTTCAGATCACTAGCTTTACTCAGAGTGGGGGGTTGCCTTTGCTTTGGCCAGAGTGAGACCACTGGTATTTTGGAATGCTGGACTCCATATGTGCTTAGTTGCAAACATAAAGTGTGTATTTTAAAGAGGAGAGAAGTAAACCGCATATTAGAATGATTTCTGAGCGATCATGTGACACTGAAGACTGAAGTAGACTGCTAATTCAGCTTTGCCACCACAGGAGTGAATTAGGATTCAAAATATAATGAAGTAGAAAACTCTTATTTTAAATTATAATGATATTTCACAGTATTACTGTTTTATTATTGATCGTAAATGGTGAGCATAAAGGTGTGGACACACAAATTCACTTTGCTTTCAGGTTTAATAATTTAAATGGCAATGAATTTCACATGAGGGCAAAAGATTTCCCCACACAGATTTCACAACTGGTTCAAGTTAGTGGCATGGATTTGTCACACTGACCAACAGAAAGCTGAATGCTTAGAAAGTGACTTTGAGCTGTGCTTTATAATATA